ATCCAGCATCAAAAGTATTCAAAGTCGGCACAAAGACTTAACCCTCCCAGCAGTCTTTTTGTATAAACTCAAGACAGAGAGTTTAGCCCTCCCTCCACATTATTTTGGTCTGCACACAATGATCAGCAAGTTCCAGGTAGATTTGACACTTGATCCTGAAACTGCACATCCAAGTCTGATTATCTCCAAAGACAGGAAAAGTATATCTACAACAAGTCTACCACAATTTCTTGACAACTCCCAGACGTTTACTCCTTACCTAGCTGTGCTCAGCTGTGAGGGCTTTGATGGGGGCAGGCATTTTTGGCAAGTAGAAGTCACAGGGGTTGGTGAATGGTCCATAGGTGTTTGTAAAAAATCATTCTGCGGAAATTCTGGGATACTACCAACCCCTGAAAATGGCTATTGGGCATTTTTACAGACTGCAAAGAACACAGAACAGGACATGGACATTAAACAAGCAGACCCAGGTATGCAATTTGGTGTATTTCTAGACTATGAACTGGGAGAACTTTCCATTTATCGTTTGAATAACAGATTATATTTGTGTAAAATCACTGATAAATTCACAGGGAAACTGATGCCATATTTTGCTATTGGACCCTCTTCAAAATCAATTTCAATATGTTTGACCACAAAGGAATGGTGAACTACTATGAAAATTATTTGTGTTTGAGTGTGTTTGAGTGATTATTTTTTAGAAAGACTGTTTATAAGGTTTATAAATAAAGTTTAGAAGATTTATAAGTTCCTGGTTCATATTTGTTGTCTGCCTTCTGAAATTCTATAGGGCTCACATTTTTTTCTTCCCCTTGAGCCAAACCTTCCTGGACTACTTAGCAGGATTTTTGGAGAGGAGAAAAGCTTCACGTCACTCTTCTCCCATTTTCCATCGATTTGCTCCAGCGGGCCCAGTAATGTCTCAATTTTGACACTTGTTACTGTGTTTGCCATACTGGATACAACACGGGTAGCTTGCCAGGCTTTGCCTTGAGCACAAGATACTCTTGGTAGCTTCCCAGGCTCTCCGACAGGGGTGGAGGAATTGAACTTGGGTCGGCCAGGTCGGCCTCATGCAAGGCAAACACCCTACCTGCTTAGGGATAGAAAATCTTGAGTTGTGCTACCCCCTTCTCAAAGGCTGGAGCGACAGCACAGCGGTAGGGCATTTTCCTTGTGTGCAGCTGGCCTGGCTGAGCCAAGTTTGATTCCTCTGCCCCTCCCCGAGAACCTGGCAGGCTACCAATAATATCTCACTGGCACCGCAAAGCCTGGCAAGCTACCCGTGAGGTATTCAATATGACAAACAAAATAACAGCAAAGTCTCAAGATTGAGACGTTACTGAGCCTGCTCGAGAAAATCGATGAACAACGGTAGGACAGTGACAGTGACCCTCCTCTCATATAAACCAGTAACCACCAACATCTTAGCTACTTGCTTTTCGATGAACTCATTTACTTGGGGATACCTATTCTGATCATTCCTGCACTCACAAAGGAACAAGATAGGGAACTAGAGAAACCTGCGGACACAGATAGGAATGACTTCCTACTCAAGGCCCTGTATCAGATTTCTCTCCAGGATCCTCCACGGCCCAGTGGCCCCCATCTCCACCCACCCCAACCTGTGCCAGGCTCCAGTTTGCTTTCTCTCTTTCCCAGTGGTTGGGGACCCAGACAACCTGGATGTGCTCATTTCATCTCCTGCCCTAGTAGGCCTGACCTAAGATTCTGTAAGCTACGCATCCGGGACTTGCATGAACTGGTAAGCTCCCCTCACCCCCACAAGCCAGAGTCAGTCCCTATTCTGCTCTCCAGTTGTTCTAGACAAGCCCCCAAACCAGAGTCCCCTATCTGCAGCTCCTCTGGTTTGCAGGAGGGCAAGAAATGTGACAGGGAAGAAGCCAGTTTCATAGGAGCAAAAAGCAGGAGAAACCCCCTCCCCCACTTACTTATGGGGTGTTTAAGGAGTAGCAGGTGTTGATAATAATTTAACAGCCCCAGAAGAAAGATCTGCCCCCAGAATCGTAAGTCCAGTCCTCAAGATGAAGGGCCAGCCCTGGGTCTTACTGCCATGAGGAGGAAAACATGAAATGGGGCAAAATAAAGAGAGGTTCTCTAGCATGGCATTAGTCCTCGTACTACACACTCTACTCTGGGTTCTTTCTGTGTGACCTGTTGTGTGTTTTTTTAAAAGAGTTTGTATTATTTTTCAAAAGACTGCTGCATCTGCCCTTCGGTTTTCCTTTTGGTGGTTAACAGTTGTAAAGGAATCACTTTATAATTTTGCTTCAGTTAAGCAACTGTAACATATTAACACTAATGCCTTCTCAGTAAATTTGAACACAAAAATGGAGGCTATCAGTTCCACCCAAAATCTTTGATATCCAAGCAACCACACCATACACAGACGAATAAAGATTTTTGTCCTTCAATGGAGGGAGGGAAATGTACCTGACACAGAAGCAGGCTGGGGGTGGGAGGAAAATCAGAGAGATTGGTGGAAGGTAGTGAGCACTGGTGAAGGCATTGTTGGAACAATATATGCCTGAAACTCAATCTCAAATGGCTGTCATTTTGTAAGTTTGGTAATTCAATTTTAAAAAAAGAAAAGAAAAACTATTTTTTTACTTTCCTTCACTGCACCCCATTCCTCCAAAAAAGATAGGTGACTTCATCATCATTGATGCTTCAAAATAATTTGGGCATAGATTCCCCCTGACTGGCTTGACGAAAGCTGGCACCACGCAGAAAGGCTGAACTCTGGAGGACCAGCACTGGGACCTTGAAGGCATATGTGTGTCCAGGCAGTTGGCACGTTCATCTGTGCTGATTGTGCTTCTTTGGCCAACTTCTACCAATTCTGGTGTAGGCCCATCTGATTTCTATAACACAAGTACTCATGACAGTGATTCTTGCTTAAGAATAAAGGCCTCCTTTGAAGTCTCTTTAAGTGTTTCTCTCATGGTCTTCTACATACCTGCTTGTACTCCACACCAATTTTGGAGGTCTCCAGGCATTGTGCTCTTACGTCGGACTTTATCGTCATCTTCCGGCCAACCATGACTAAAGATGAGTTCTCAGGATATTAAAAGCCCAAGCGTTTGAGTTAGTGCCTATTAAAATCTTGAAGTAGAGACTTAAGAGATATGGGCACATATGGGATGCTGGGAATCGAACTTGGGTCGGCCCCGTGCAAGGCAAATGCCCTACCCACTGTCCTATCGCTCCAGGTCTTATAAGAAAAGCTTTTTAACAGTTTATCAAACCACTGAAAGATATTTTCTCTTGCTTCTTTTGACCTCTCTTTCCCCATGTATGTCCTGTAAAAAAGCAAATAATAACAGAACCAGAACATGGTGGGGATTTTCTTTAACGCCCCACCAATCCACAGTGATTAGGAAATGATCAAGAAAATTTTGAGGTCAAGACAGAGACATTCACAGTTCTGTGGATGATATAGGAGAAAACTTTGACATGCCAACCATCATGCATCCCATAGCTTGAACAAAGCCAGAATGTTTTATTTATTTATTTGTTTGCCTGTTAGAGGAAAAATAATTCCAAGCCTTCCAGGGAGCCTAAAGATTCTGAGAATGTGCAACATTTGTTCTGATTTTAGCTGTACCTGGTGTTACTCAATGCTCTGTGCTCAGGGGTCACTCGTAGCAGTGCTTGGGGGATCATATGCAGTGGAATTGAATCTCAGTTGAGAAGTAGAAACTTAAAAATTCAGTTGCACTTTCAGAAAGGAAGATTGAACTTGAAACGCAGCATGGTACTACTATTTCTTTCTCAACCAGTATGGGATTAAGAAACATGAGAAGGTGGAGCTGCAGTGATAGCATGGCGGGAAGGACGTTTGCCTTGCACGCAGCTGACCCGGGTTCAATTTCCAGCATCCCATATGGTCCCCTGAGCACAGCCAGGGGTAATTCCTGAGGGCTGAGAGAGAGGAGTAACCCCTGTGCATCACCCGGTGTGACCCAAAAAGCAAAAAAAAAAAAAAAAACACATGAGAAGGATAAAGGTAGGAAATTCACTGTGGAGATTGGATTTTCAGGATTAGTGGCCTACCCCTTCCACCTGGCTAGTACTACTTAATCCCTTCTTTCAGAGTATCCTATCAGGATTAATGCAGCTCCCTTCCTTCTGACTGGTCTTTTCTCTAAAGCCCCACCCATCCAACAGAATATAAAAACGCAGGTCAATCACAGGACAGCGCCAGGCCGACTTCCACAGTCCTTCAGGGAGAGTCAGCTCAAACTACCAAGGACTCAGCCAGACCCGGGTCACTGATCCAGGAAATAACCAATAAGGACTGTGGGTTTATGGGAGGCAGAGGGAGAGCATAATTTCCATTCCTAGTGTCTGTTCTATGGAGAACACTATTTTTACTGGAGGAAATACTTCATAGAGGATCTGATATCTGTTTGCTTATATGAAATACTATACGTAGCACCTATCTTCCTGGATTACGTTGAGTCATTTCCCCATCTCCAGGACTTTGGTCACAGCTGGGGATTGTCACTAAATATTCAGGGTTCTATTCCATGAAGCCTTACAGAGTTGGCATCTTTGAGTGATTATGGAGGAGAATCTGGTTGCCTTGAGGACGGTGAGCAGGGCCCTGGAAAGCTCATTCTCCTACTTCCTTGGGAGGGTCTTCTCTTCCTCAGAACACATCAGCTCTTTTAAAGCTGTAGATATTGCTGGCCAAGAGAGTTGGTGAGATCGACTTCTCTTCATATCCACATTTATTCATGACGGGCTGCTCCTTGTGACTTGAGTCACTGGACTACAGTGGATCAGGCAGTATGATAAGTCATCAGAGAGGGACCCTCACTGAGAAAGACATTGAGTATACGATAGAGGTCTGAAGGTGTAACTTTTTTTGACAGGAAATCACCTGAGGAGTCCCACATTCAAACAGCCCACACTACCCCAGTCCTGCCCTTCCCACACCTGAGGATGGTGGAGGTGTCAGCAATCCTGGCCAAATGCAGTCAAAATGCTTCTGTCCAGTCTGCCTGGACTACCTCAATGACCCCGTCACCACCGACTGCGGCCACTACTTCTGCGACTCCTGCATCCGCATGTCATGGAAGGACCTGCAGGACACATTCCCTTGTCCTGTGTGCCAGCTGGCCCGCCAGGAGATGCGTATCAGTGCCAATGCCCAGCTGGGCAGGCTGGTGGACCTGGCCAAGCACCTGCACAGCTCCGGGAGCAGCAAGATGGCACGGGGAGAGGAGCACAGGCATGAAGACCACAGGCAGGGGATGAGCCTCTTCTGCGAGGACGACCAGGCGCTGCTGTGTCCCCTGTGTGCCCGGTGTCTTGATCTTCAGTGTTCTGTGGAGGAGGCCACATCCTATCACAGACAAAGGCTCAAGTACATCAAGTCACTGGAGAAGCGGTTGGCAAAGGTGCAGAAGCTAGAAGTCACCCATGATAGAAAGATCCTTCAACTGACCAAGGAGGCCAGAATAAGCATTCTTAAGAGTCAGCTGGCCTCGGAGTTTGAGCAGCTCACCCAATTTGTGGAGAGTGAGCAAGAGGCAGCTCTCCGCAGGCTGGCAGAAGAGGAGAAACGCCTGCAGCAGCAGCTCAGGGCCAACCTGGAGGCCTACTCGGACCACATCTGGGCGCTGAAAGACCTCAGACGGGAGGTGGCTGAGCGGAGCGTGATGTCCGAGGAGATGGTGCTGAGGGGTGTGTGGGGCATGCAGCAGCGTTGGGCGGGCCTGCAGCCCCCGGCAGTGCAGCCCCTGTGCTTCAGGCCGGTGGCCTACAGCCTCCCTCCTCTGTGCTCAGCGCTCAAAGCATCATCCGGAGATTCCGAGACAGCATCAGCCTGGACCCCCACACGGCCCACCCCAGCCTGTGCGTGTCTAAAGATAAAATGTCTGTGACCTGGGGGAGAAAAAATCCCAACCTTGCTGGGGATCCGAGGCCACCGGAAGATGCCGCCGAGCTGGTGGTCCTGGGCCGGGAGGGCTTCTCCTCTGGCCGCCACTACTGGGAGATGCAGGTGGGCGCCAAGCCCGAGTGGGCCGTGGGCGTGTGCAGTGTCGCCCCTTCGGCCCAGGCCTCGCGTCCCCTGGCGGCTCCCAAGAGATGCTGGACGCTGCAGCCGCAGGACGGCGTCTACCTGGCCGTGGGCGCGTGGGCTGTGCCTCTGGCTCTCAGGGACCAGTCTGCAGCCATCGGCATTTACCTGGACTGGGAGCTGGGCCAGCTTTCCTTCTACAACGCCGCATCCGACAGGTCTCACCTGCACTCGTTCACCGAGCCCTTTGCTCAAGAGTTCAAGCCCTATTTCCGAGTGGGGCGTGACTGCACCCCTCTCTCCGTGGGCGTGGGGAGGGCTTAGGAGCTTGATCCCTGTTTCTGTTTTCCTCCTGTAATTACTTTATAGAGTAGGTTGTGAATTTTGCAATGATCACTGTGTCTTATTTAATTCAGTTGTCATCGAATCTGGCATGATTTTTTTGAAAAGTATTCATTTCACTTTCAGGGAAGAATAGCATTGTTTTTTTCTCTGTATATTGCCTCTTGTTCCTTTTTTTTTTTTTTTTTGGTGGGATGGTGGTATGGGTGGGCGGTAGATCCCAGCCCTGAGTGTTCAGATGTACTACCTGGAGATGGTCTTAAGACTTCTTCTGTTATGTCCCATGCAGGATTATATAAATTTATTTTTCTGTAGCTCAACCATGCGTGCTCACCTCTCACCCTCACAAAAACCGGTGACTTTTCAGGAAATTCCTCACTGTGGAAATAAGTTGTCCTGGTTACACTGGGCTTGAAGCACATGCCCTTCCCTGCTGCCTGGGATGGCAGACAGGCTTCTCCTTTGTATACCACATTTCCAATAAAGGCGTTTTTTATTTAGTTGCTTGTGTTTTCTGTTGTTTCTTTCTTAGACTTGATCACTTGACTTCCGATTAATGGTCGATTTGCTCCAGCGGGTGCCAGTAACGTCTCCATTTCTCCCTGTCGCGTGCTAGCGTAGCCCAATGGTGTCTGTTCGTTCTAGGAACACAAAGAGCCTCAAACCAATCATTTAGGGTCTTAATGAAGAAGTCCCGTAGAATCCAGTCAGTAAACCAGCTCTAGTCCAGCGGTCATCTCCAAATCTCATTACGTGCGTGCCCAGACCTTCTGATTTTTGACGCCTTGGCAAATGAGACAGTGTCCTTTATTCTTGATCGTCAAAGGAGGTCGGAACTCCAGATTCTTTCTCTCATTTGAGTGAAACATGATATTCCAAGCATAACTCTTTCAATGCCTCCTTTCTTATACTCGATTTGCTTGAGCAGGCCCAGTAATGTCTCCATTGGAGACTTTGTTGTTACTGTGTCTGGCATATCGAATACTCTCGGTAGCTTGCCGGGCTCTCTGAGAGGGGCGGAGGAATCGAACTTGGGTCGGCCATGTTGGCCGCTTGTAAGGCGAACGCCCTACCCGCTGTGCTATCGCTCCAGCCCTTCTAGTCTATAAAATTTCCTGTCTGAGTTCCAATAGTTTTCATATATGTATTTGAAATCCTTTAAAGTCTCCTTTTTTTGGATGACCTCTTTCAAAGTGTTTCAGGTGGGAACAAGAAGAGTGATTAGTGGCCCATATTTTCCCATGAATTGGGATAGAGCCATTGAGCCCTTTAGAGAAACTATGCATTTGCGGGGGGCAGGGGCGGGAGGCAATGATAGGTGGGGATGATCTCTCCACACTGAGGAAAGGGCAGTTTGGTTTCCTGTCTCCTTCCAAAGCAAATGTCAGGGAGGTTCACTTTTTATTTCATTTATTTATTTATTTTTCCTTTTGGGGGTCACACACGGCGATGGTCAGGGGTTGCTCCTGGCTATACACTCAGGAATTACTCCTGGCATTGCTCAGGGGACCATATTGGATGCTGGGATTTGAACCCTGGTCGGCCGCATGCAAGGCAAACTCCCTACCTACTAGGCTATCACTCCAGCCCCAAGATTCACTTTTTAAGGGAAATGTGATTCCTAGGTTCCATTTCACACAAGACTAAAGAAAGTTTATCCAGCTCAAGGATCTTTGTTAAACTTGAGTTTCCTGGACACAAAGAGGAATGTCTGTTGGCATTGCCATGAGTATGGCCTTTGAAGCAGACCTCAGCTGCATTTCCCCAGGGGGCAGGGGCTGACTCTGTGATTAACTTCTGATCAAGCAGTTTTACTTCCCCTGTCAGTAAGAGAGGTATTTCCAGCTTTAGTTTTTGCCTCTTGTTTTCTGGGTCCCAAACACATTTTGTGCTTTTCAGCATTCACACAGCAACCAGCTCTAGTTGTGGGCACCGAGCTCAGCCTGTGGTACTAGGTGTCCATCATCAGAGCTTGCCCCGAGGTGCTGTGCCTTTACGGTCTAGTCAGTGGGAACCCTGACTCTAGACTGGATTGAGACGTGTCTCTTCAGGAGGGTCTCCTTCTTCAAAAATTATATTTCCTGTTGTGATTGAGTGATGAACACAGATGTTAAAGGAACTTCCAGAACGGTTCGTGTTATCCTTTGCAAGATGTAGGGAACACATGTTAAAAGAATAGTATTCTCCGGAGTCTCAGAGTCATAACTAAATCTCCAAGGAGATGTAAGCCAACCCACTAAAATTCATGGATACACCAAATTCCCAGCTAAAATCCCTGGGGGTGTCTTTGGGGGGAGATGCTAAGTCCTCACCCTCCCAAAGTCTTTGTAGCTGTATCCTAAAGGTGCCAAAGGCCCAACTCCACTGCTTCATGACAAATCTCTGCAGAGACACCAAACAGACACAAATTCAAGTACACTGGTTTTCAGGCTGAAAACTCTGGGTCTTTTCAGAGTGGCGGTGGGCAACTTCCCATTCTCCCCCTTCCTGACCCTGAACTTTAGGAAGCCCTGGAAGTCATTAATTCCCACATGCCAGAGTCTCTGCCATGTAAACTCATTCATTAGCTCAGGTCTACAATTTCTGGACTTCCTTGGGTGGGGGGGCGGGGGTGTAGGAGGGCGTGTGTTGTCTGGTAACACCTCCAAATCATACAATACTGATATTCCAGTAGAAGCACACCAAATTATATGGGAAAGTGACATAGAAGCCAACTAAACTCAATGAACAAAAACAAATACAAGGCTCAACTAGCAACAAAAGGACTTAATGACCCCATGGCAAGATATAAGACCCTTCACAAATTTTCTTTTAGTGATTATTTTTTGTAATTCCTTTAGTCATTTAGACTAATGGATATTCCATTTGTCTATTACTCATTGAAACAGGCAATAAAAATAAATTATTTAGGGCCTACAATAATGAGGCAATTTAGGGAGTGGTTAGGAAAATGGGGGAAATGGGGACAACGGTGGAGGGAAGGTCACACTGGTGGTGGGTTTGGTGTAGGAACATTGAATGCCCATAACAAATATATTATGAACATCTTGGTAGCACTGTAGCACTGTCCTACCGTTATTCATCAATTTGCTCGAGTGGGCACCAGTCATGCCTCCACTGTGAGACTTGTTACTGCTTTTGGCATATCGAATATGTCATGGGGAGCTTGCCAGGCTTTGCCATGCGGGCAGATAGTCTCGGTAGCTTGCTGGGCTCTCTGAGAGGGAAGGAGCAATTGATCCCGGGTCACTGGCATGCAAGACAAACCCCCTACTCACTGTGCTATCGCCCCAGCCCAACACCTTGGTAAACCATAGGACTTAAGTGAAGTTTCTTTAAAAAAAGAACTGCACTTCTTAAATCAAGGTATGGACAGAGGTGTCAGATGCCTCACAACACTTCAGACATTCTGTACAGTGAGTCAGCTCTCTCTCCTCTATACCATCCTGTTCTCAAAATGCCTAGAGAAACATCTCAAGTTTTCTACCCACTGGTGTTTGTGTGCCTATATTTTTGCCCAATTCTCAAGTAACTTGTTATTTCTTTCTGCTTTGACTAATGGGGGCTGGAGCGATAGCACAGTGGTAGGGCATTTGCCTTGCGCGCAGCCAGCCCGGTCGATCACCCTCACTATCACGATCATGCTGTTGCTCATGGATTGCCTCGAGCAGGCACCAGTAACATCTCCTTCGGTCCTAGCCCTGAGATTTTAAAAAGTGCCATGTTCAAGGCTCTTTCAGGGATAGGAGAATGAGACCCATCATTGTTACTGGTATTTGGCATATTGGGTACTCCACGGGGTATTTGCCAGACTCTGCCGTGTGGGCAGGTTACATTCGGTAGCTTGCCAGGTTGTCCAAAGCAAAAATGAAATAATAAGATGTCCTACATTCGTGGCCATGCGCTTCAGGGAGCTGGCTTTTATAGTCTCTGGGTCTTCGCCATTGATGGGATTACACAGCACCAGGGGGCAGTTGGTGGGTGTGACCTCTGCCTACTGGAAGATGGAGGATCTGGGTGGAGGATACTCAGCCCCGATCCGAGCAGGCTTGGAGATCTCAGCCCCGGGGCCCTCATACCTGTGTTCCTCGACCGGTTACTTCATGCGTGTGGAGAGTGGTCTCAGCATGGTTGTGGCTGGTTCTGGAGGTCTTCGGCTGCCAGATCTCTGCTCTGGCCGGGGAGGGGAACTCAAACTGTCCCCCTCCAAGGGGTGCCAGCAAGGACAGCCAGGCAAGGGAGCAGAAGACTCTGCGTTGCTCTCTTCACAGCCAGCCCAGCTGAGCCAGGTTCGATTCCTCTGCCCCTCTAGGAGAGCCAGGCAAGCTACCGAGAGTATCTCGTCTGCATAGCAAAGCCTGGCAAGCTACCCATGATGTCTTCAGTATGCTAAACACAGTAACAAGAAATCTCAAAATGGAGATGTTATTTGGCCTGCTGGAGCAAATCGATGATCAATGAGAGGGCAGTGTTTTGAACTAATATGTTTACACATTCTTGTTCCCAGTCAGGTGAAATCTCCAGAGAAACTTAAACAAATGGAACTCCAAGTCCATCATTGACAAAGTACAGATGTGTGGAAACATTTCTGAGACTAATTAACATTTATCATATAAACTGTACACGAATAATATGACAAACATCAGTTATGAACTCCAATTCATGGTTTGTTATCTCAGAACCATCCTAAAACTTCTTTTGTTTTGTTTTGTTTTGGGGCCACAGCTAGCAATGCTCAGTGCATTCTTCTGGTTCTGAACTCAGGATTACTCTTAGCAATTCTCCATGGAGACCATATGGGATGCCGGCAATGGAACCTGGATTAGTTGTTTAGTTTAACTAACAGTACTGTAAATTTCAATAAAAGTGAAAAGATTAATTAACAGCACTGTATATCCCAACAAAAGAGAAGAAAAGATGATCTCACATATACACGTTGATGCAAGTAAATCTAGAAGACTACCAGATGACTAATCCCTTCA